GAGAAAAGTGCTTTCTTAAGGGCCACAAGGTGGCGCTACCTTAATAATAACCTAATGACAGCTTCCTAAGAGAGAGAAAAAAACGTCTTTAGTTTCATTACATGGAAGAGTTCAGTGTTTTAGAAAATATATTTATTTAGTGCTTCAGTATCTTTTGTATTTCGTTAAGTTAATCAAGAATTAGCCGGGGAATGTAACTCCTGCCTATGATAACATTGCCACAATTTCTTTGTACGCACAAAGCATTTCCTGTTTTCTACCTGCTTGAAGTCTGTATGCTAAACTGGAATAACAACATTCTTATTCCAGCTGCACACCCGCCTGATCTTCTTCTTCTCATCTTTCTCTCAGAGAGAAAGCTTTTAAACGTGTTTCTCAAAATCTTGAACTCATTTCTGAGACACCCTGCTCACTGTGAGACAAAGAAGACTGAGAAACATCTTTCTATTAAAATGTTTTCCATCCCGATCCTGCTCAGTGCAATCACATGTGTATCAGTGAATTGTGAAGGTTTTGTTCAAGCTACAGTAGCACTAATACTGATAAACAGCATCAGTCTCACAGGGGATTAGTTACACACAGTGCTCCCATCCCACTGCGGCTCTGCTCAATCCCAGCTCTGATCATCTGCATGCTGCCAAGTGCTGCAAACTTACTGGACATCTTTGGTATGCGGATGGGGCCACTGCTGGTGCCGTCCCCCCCTTTGGTGAGAGCTTTGATCTCAATGAGGTAGTCCTCTCCGGAAGGGATCTGCAGCTCCACACTGGTCTTATTGGTTTCCAGCACAGTGGTCCTGCCCTGCCAGTCCTGACGATACACAACCTGGAGGCGGACAAAGCGAGTCTGAGGGTGAACTCCTCGTTTCTCAGTCAGAAAGGAAACCTTTGTGACTGTTTGGCAGAGGAATGTACAACTTTATTCAACATATTAATTCCCTGTGTGAGAAAAATCCAAATCCTGAGGGCAGGGAAAATGTGTGCAGCCAAAATTTGGGTATATGTCTCTGGAGATTTCCAAATGTCTTGTGCAACGCTGGTTAGGCGGTTTTTTACTTAATTAGCGATGTTATCTTATCTTTATAAAAATGTAGAAACATGTTTAATTGTTTCATTCAAAAGAAACTCACAGGTAAGAGAGCTTAACTTCATATTTAGTTTTAAACATATGGAAAGGTCTTAAGAAATCTCAAGTCATTTTTAATTACATACATGCAAAACACACGATCCCTTACCACAGGAGCTCAACAAAAGACTTCAATCATTAAATCAGATCATTAAATGAACAGAGCTTCATATCTATGGAGAATACACACACACACACACACACACACACACACACACACACAGATCTGTACATCTATCTTAGTGGGGACACTCATTAGCAAAATTAATCCCACGGCCCCTCACCCTAACCTTAACAATCACAACTAAATTATATAAAAACTTAATTCTAACACTAACAGTAAAACCAAGTCTTAACCCTGAAACAGCCCATTAAAAGTTGGCCAGCCAAAATGTCCTCATTCTGTAGGTTGTGTCCTCACAAAGATATCTGTACAAGTACACAGACACACACAGCTTTATCAAAACAGTTTTTATTACACATATATGCAAAGAGGATCAAACATGATGCATTGATGTAGCGGTTGCAAGAAGCTAAATTCCCTCTGAGGCACGACACCTTTCATTTTATCACCTGGAACAGATCTTTTAATTTTGAAAGGGCAGACAGGGCCAATAAATAATGTAACACTGGAGTGTCGAGGTCTATCTTTCTACTGCAATGAGAGAGCCATTTATTGGGATGACAGCTGCTGGAGCTCTATTTGTTTCCCCAGTTGTGGAGTTTCTGTTATTACTCTGACAAACTCACCTTGTATCCTGTCACCTCAGACTCATTTTCCATCGCCTTGACATGTTCCCAGTTTAGAAAGATCTTCGAGTTGGTCAGACTCCACTCGATATTCCCCGGTGGCTGACTCGGAGCTGCCAGAGGTGTAGACACAAGTTTCACAAAAAAGAAAAGTAGCACAAATGAATAAATGAACCAATGTCACAGTCTCTAAACTTGCTTTGCATTCAGCCCTGGATTTAATCATGTGGTGAGGAAGGAGAATGCATTTCATTCAACACACACTTCAACCTTAAGGAAAAAAAAAACCTGGAGAAAAACAGAGGTCAACCAAAAGCTGAAAACTCACGCTCTTTGATTACAATTTCCTTGTGCGTGTGGAAACTCGGCTAATAAGGATGAAATGCAAAGTTCCCCCTGAGGCAGCGTAAAAGTCTTCACTGCAGCGTGACTCGATGAAATGCTGCAGGTTGAGAGTGGTTCTCATTCAGGTGCTGCAGCTGCTTTGGTCTTCTTTAAAATGCAAAACAACAACATTCAGCGATATGAAACATGAGAGAGACAGTGATGAACATAACCTGACATCGTAACTGAGGCAGTCTGAGCAGGAGAAGGAGATTAAATAGGTGAATAAATTGAACCAGTGAAAAAAACAAATGAAAAAAGAAAAGAAATACAACTTTTTAGAGTATTGTATTGAGGAAGTGGACTCAGTTATGTAATTACACTGAAGATGACACAACTACTACAACTGCGGTCCTATACTACTCCTACTAATAATAATAATATGACAAAATCCAAAGTCAGCTTGTTTTGAACATAAATATATTCCAAAATGTTGCATCTGAAGCTGCTTCAGGTTTGTTTCCATGTTGAGCTGAGATACTAACAATAGGACTTTGTTAAATAACTTGATTTGTTTAAATCAAAAGTCTGTGCTCACTTTTATCTTCAGATAAACTTTTGAATTACATTGTTCTGCAGAGGAGGAGGATAACTGTGTGTTTTGCCCCGTCACATTCATTGGAGGAACACTAGGAAGAGATCTGTGAATGGTCATTAATAACAGGAGGTATTATAGCAGCAAGTGAAAACATTTCAAATATTGTTTTCAGAGTGTTCTGCTTCATTGCATACAATTGTATCAAGTGTAACAAAGAAGGAGAAAACAAGGTTTGCACCGTTTAACAAAAGACACCGAGTGCAGATTTCACGTTTCCCTAATGAAGAGAAATGTATTCTGGTGTGTACTCACCCTCTGTGTGAAAACATGCAGATTTAAGATAAAAAGGCAAAAGCAGCTGTGATGTACAGGAGGTGTGTGAATGTAAGGTGGGAAGACTGTGGAGAAGTGATTTCTTCAGACTACTGCAGTGCAGCCATTTACAGTATTATACAAATGACCATTAAACAAATACAAGGACAGCACGAGACACGTTGGCACGGACACCAATATATATAATTAATAGTGGGAATAAGCAATTGCCATGTAAACAGCATTTTCTGAAGACCTTAATCAGAATAAGCTCATACTCTGAATTTACAATGATCACATTGAGATGTGGATTATTCTGAGTTTAGCGTCATTAATTAGACTTGAATACATCTTAATCACATCTTAACATTCTGTTGGAGTTTTCACAGCATTTTGTGACATCGACATACAGCAGTTACCAACTGCTTGACTACGCTCTGGGTTCAAGTGTCATGTCGGACGTATGACGCAGTTGACACAATGTTGATGTGAATCATGTAAACTCCATTATGATTTTATATATGGTCAATAGTCTGAATACTGCTGTCCATGTAGACGTGTCTACCGTTTTTTTTCTCTCAGAATCCAATCTTTCTTTTACTTTTGCGCAGGTCACACAAGATATACAGGTCACACTCACTGTCAACTGTCATGATCTGTATATAACACCGTGCGTGATGTGGATTTGTAAGATATGGAGCCGCAAATAGACTGAATACTTTGGCCATTTCATTTTAATCACCATCAAGTGACTGCTGGTGCAAACATATGATTTAATGCACTACACTTAAAAACATAATTAGTTTTCTTCTCTTGTTGTCTTGACTATGGAGATATAAATACTTTCTTTTCCAACACCAGAATTAAAGTTTTGCGCACATGGACTTTGTGTCACCGGTTGTTATACAATACATATATTAAACAATTGAAAACGGTAAATAAAAACTGTGATAATAATGAGAAAGGTTTAAATATCTCAAAATGGGTTGATTTATTGAAGGTAAAATAACCGTTTACATTAAGCTGATGCACTTGATGTTAGTTTGTTGAAGCACTGAAAGGAGCCGAGGTGTCAGTTTTTAAAAGCGAGTTCAAACACGGGAAAAAGCTCAAGTGACATCTCTAAAATCAGGTGAGATTTCTATTTTAACCACCGTCGACAGTGGAGTTGTGGGTGTGTCAGAAGTGAAAGACTGTCAGCTGATTAATAAGCAGTCTGAGAAGCTGAAGCGTTAATCAGTGCAGTGAAATCAGTTGTTTGGGGAGCGAGACATGAAAGCAAATACACTTTTTTTCAGTTTGACCTGAAACACAGAGACAAAGGGAAAGTGTGGGCCTTGTTCTTCACTCAGGTGTCAGCACACGCCTATGTGTGTATTCTATGGTAGCCATTAAAATGTCAGTGGAAGTTATTGGCCTGTCGCTTGAAGAGTTAAAATTAGTGGAGCGGTCGGGTGATGTGTGGAAGCTCCGAACAGTTCAAGTGTCGCCTGTCGTGTTACTTGACAGCCTCAGTTATTACGACCTGAGTGTCATATGGTCCTGGCTTCGTGGGCAGTTTGGACAGACAGATGACGAGGGCCAGAGATATATTTCTAGCATGTGGGTGTTCTTTTCAAGCAAATTCTCTAAGAACGACCATGAAATCAAAGCAATAAAGACAGATGAAGTAATAGGCACAATGTCAACAGATTTTTCACAAAACTAATTTTTGCATCTTATATGTATGTATATATTTGGGGTTTAGCGTGGTGCCTCCGTGAGAGGCATTACACACATAATATGGAATAAGGTTTACCACTGTGCACTTTCTTTATGACGTTTCATTAGGTGAGAGTGTTTTACATGTGTGCATGAGCCATTTTACACTAATCAATTTTGGGTCACTGAAGTGATGTTAATAATGTGAACTGTGTTGTTGGGAAAGCTCATTCTGTCACTCACTTTTATATCTATTTCAATAAAACAAGACAATGGTGAATGTTACGCCATCTATAGACATTTTTGTTTTTCTGGGATATTACTACTGACCTTTCATACAGTGTTTCACATTAGCGTCTTTCAGACAAGCACTAAACTACTGACAATCTCCGGACATTCTCCTGAGGGGCCGTGTGTGAGTTTCTTCTGCCAGCCCCCTGGAAAAAACTCAAAAATAGCAGGAAATCCGCCACAGGATTCACTACGAGTGAGTGAGAGTGTTGATGATGTTTCTAAGATGTGACAGAGACGAAACTGAAAAAAAATTATAATTACAAAAATCTCAGTATGAAACAGAGGAGCCAGACACTTAAACGACATCAACAAAGATGGAGAAAGCTTTTGGTGATGAGAGCCGACACCAATGTCAATGTGCTGTAATAAAAATCACCTGAAGTCTCCGGAGAAAGTCTGGACCCAATTTGGCGGACGTCCTCCAGAGTTCATGTTGAAAACATGGACTTATTTGTGGCAGACAGCCACAATATTAAAACATATTGATATTCTAAAATTGTACTATTGGTAGATTCAATTTCATACAAAATACTACAGCCTGCTTCATACATGCTGAGCTCAACTCACTCAACCTCTCTCAAATACATTAAGGGTTAGAACTAACGCAACTTTGGCCAGTTTGTGGATAGTTGCCACGTTCTAAAATGCAGCAGTCGTCAATGTTTGCAAACTCACGTGGTTTTTTTGTGGTGACGTTGAACGCAGGGCTGCTGGGTCCGAGTCCGGCGCTGTTCTGGGCTCTGACTGAGATCAGATAGACCGTGCTGCCCTTCAAGCCAGAGAGCTGTGCTGTGGTGTTGATAACCTTCACTCTGTCAGCGTCACCATGCCCAGATCCTTGCTCCCAGAACAGAACCTAGACCAAAGAAACACAGATTACCACAGAAGCTCCAGCCATACCGCTTCCCTTTAACCCCCCCTTCTTACACAGCTTTCAAATGTGCGGTGACAACTGAATCAAGTAAATCCTTATTTATTTGCCAATTTCCCACTGAGAGTGTCACAATGTGCTTAAAAATCAAGCACCCTGCACAGCAGAGCCAGCTGACGTGCAGAATGTGAAATAAAAGCACTCACTTATGGAGATAGATATTTTTAAATGAAGCTCATTCTGGGGCATTTCTCCCCGACTTCATTAAGATTTGAAAACATTTTGAGGTCATGTAGGTACATCTCTTTAATATATTAAAGCAGCACTTGAGTAGGACATAACTTAAAAGAGTTCCATACTATCAGCTCAGCTACTGTAGGTCCTGAGGCAGTCCAACCCACATTTCTTAAACCACCGAGTGATACTCTATCTGACGATCAGCAATAGCGAAAGCAGAACTGGGGAGTGAGGGGTACACGGATAAGGAGCTTGTTGGGATCTGTATTCATGGCGAAATCGTTTATGACCCGAGAACACGAGACAGAAGAAGCAGACAGGAAAATGTCAAACAGATGGTTTGAGAGTAGCCTGGGTACTTATTCAATTGGCAGCGTGCAGGTTTGCAGGGATCTTGCTCGGGAGAAGGCAGAGTAAAGCGTCAGGGCCTGGAGTTGCTGATAACAGATGCATCTAGGATTTTTTTTTTCACCCACTAGCAGTTTAATTATGGCGGTTTCAGCAGCACTTGGGAAGATACCTGAAATACCTCAGCAGCTCCTCTTCTAATCTAAAACCAAAGAGGGATGAAGAGAGGAATCTGAGGAGACTTAAGCTGTAGTGCTGCATCTTTAAGTCTTATGGAGAAAGTCTCAGGCGAGATCGATGCATCAGCAGTATGTGTGTGAGACGCACAAAAACTACGCTGTACCTGATGTCTAAAATGTATGTAATTCCTGTATTATAAGGATCCAGGGGCAGAAATCTGATTTGTCCCTGAATTTCCCATTATTATCTTCTAAGCATTTTTGATGCAACAGTGTGAATAAGGAACAATTTTCGAAATATATTTAATGACGTGCGGCTTTGCTCAAAGCTTTACAGCCAAAAGTAAACAAGGTGAGACTTAAATGTGCACCTTACTGAATGAGAAATTGTGCAGGGAAATTTGCCCCTGTGTGTTATGAGGGTGGATGATTCAGGCTTCAATCATTGTCAAACATTTATGTGCATTGTCTGCAATCTCAGGTCAAAGCCTTATTTATTGATGCTTCATGTGCGCTGACTCAGCCAGCTTATTATGTACACCTTGCTAATGCAGTCTAAAGTCGTACTGATGTTCAAAGCATCAGCGCTGCAGGGGCTGAGCACAGAAGGAAACTAGTCAAAAAAACAAAAAGTCAAAGGGGCTGAGCACAGAAACTTTAAATGTTTTCAAAAGATTCTTCAGTGGGGACAAACCATATTACACCTCAGGTGCTTCTACCTGCTCAGTGTGACCAGTGCGGGAGGTAGTGATGATATGATGAACTCATATTTACATTACATATATACATTCATACACACTTGTACGTATATGATACAATATATGATATATGAATATATATATTCATAGACATACGTGTATATATACATGGTACGTACACATACAGTATGTAAGTTATACAGAAATGAAGTGACTGCTCAAGATTTGTCTTAAATCTGCATCCCTACATTGATGGCCATTTCATTGTATTGTCTGTAGACTTAAGGAAAATGTTAAATATGTATATTAAACAGTAAAGACAGAGAAACGGACAATCCTGCAGTTTCTAATACTTTCTAGACACACACACACACACACACATTCCTTTGGGGGGGATATATTTAGTTAAGTCAATTTAGGAATACAATACATCTGACCTCAGAGATGCACACAATGCGTTTTGACGTTCAGCATTAAATTGGAAACACATCTTTTGTTTGTTTCCGAGCCAACTCTTCGGGGTACCTTTATATTCATGGAGGACCATTTCACTAACATCTGAATCCCTTCACCGTGTGTCTAATCAAATCTCTGTCAGAGACGGTATCACACTGTCACAGGTCCATAGCTCTCCACAGGCTCCTCTGTTTTGTCAGTGTTAACTTCATTATTTTAGTTTATTCTGTTCTAACATGGTGCACACTCCTACATAAAGTTGTGTGAAATCAAATTACAGTCATAAAGTGAGGTAAAGAGATCCTGGGGCCAGGTAGTGGTTTAGGGACGTATGAATGCTGGATGTCTGGCTTTGTTGGCACACTAAAAAGCTTCTGAGTGTTTTCATCAGGCCTTTTTCACAGTAGGAAAAGCACAGGTACTTCTAATAACATTAATAATGGCTCGAGTCTATTCAGCTACCCAAAGGTAGTTTTGAATACTGTGAGGTGTGAAGACTTTGAGATGTGTGTAATTATGACAGTACTGCAGTCTGTCTCAAAAGGTTCAAACTGCAGACAGGTAGTTTAGTTTTTCCTTGTGTTAAAAATTGCAGCTGTATTTATCTCTTTGTACACTCAGTGGTGGTGAGGGCCTATCCAAGTGCTCCTGCTATTTTCATTCATTCGTGTGAAGTGAAAGATTTGGTGAAGTGGGAGATAAATTGAAGGGTGTGGTGATGACTCATGATCCTCTCAGTCAGACACATTACTTCTCTCTCGTGACACAAATGCCACTGAGGAGAGACAGGTCCCTGAAGAAGAAAGTAGTACCGTTGTTGCGGCCGTGCAGTTAAATAAAATGTGCCTAAATGACACCTTAGAACTGCAGACAGAGGTGGATGTTGTATTTCAGTTTTGAAACTTTGAGCTGATTATGTTATGAGCTTCTGTTATCTGTTGTTATCCCATGAAGCCGACATATTGGAGGACGCTTCACTTGAAATATGAGGCATTGATAGCAACGCCTCAATGGTATTTGTTAGCCAACTTGCGTGAAGAGCCCTCTGTGCCTGATCTACCCTGTTGGGACCGACTGATGGAGCCATACGAGAGCTCCCTGGGCTTCTCCTCCACAGCTGGCTGCCTTGTCTCTGCCGATGGCCATGGAAAACATTTCATCAGTGCAGATTGCAGTATTGCTTTTACTTGTCAATGTGAGTCTGTAGTCTTCTGTTGATCAGTTCTAATGTAAAAAAATATATAATTTTGATGGTAAATAGTAAAAGCGTTGTTGATCAAGTGCAGATTTACGACAGAGTATTAGGACCACATTGAGGAAAGGAAAATTGGACATTTTGCGAATAAAGTTGTTAAATGTATAGAAACATTTTTGTTCTCCTAATATTATGAGAATAAAGTTGTAATTTTACTAAAACAAGGAAGAATATTATGAGAATTAAACTGTGAATTTACAAGAATTAAGTCACAATATTCGATGTAATGGTCAATGGTCAGTATCTCAAAAGCACTTTTCTAGTATTGATTCCCATCACTTCAAGCCTCTGATGTAAAATGTGCTCCAGGCAGAATGAATGGACAGCACATCATGAATTGTACAAGTTCTTCAGTTTCAAGGTCTCCCTCTGTCTTTGCCTGATGGGCAGGACTTGCTATGGGAAGCTCTGGTCGAGAGTAACTAAAGGATGAGGTTATCTCTGAAGTTCTAAGGATCACTATGTATTCTACAGCAGTATGATTTTAGGACTCATAAAGAGCAGGTACTCTATTTGTAAAGTCATATCCAATACACCACCCTGGTTCCATCGGTTGTACAAAGTTGTTTCCATGTGTTTACTGTAATGTTGTCCAATCCAGGAAAACTTACTTTAATGTGTCTCTGACTCGCTGGCAGTGGGAGCTCTTGCACTATCACTTTTCATGGAATAGTCGACACAAACACTTCTATCACTCTTTATCTCTTTTAAAAGTGCAACGATTGGACATTAAAGGCACTGCTGCCTTCTTCTAACTAGATGTTCTCTTTCTAAAAATGCAGCCCAGGGAGTTTTTAGCTGAAGCATTTCCTAATGCCATTACAGTTTACAATCATCTACAGGAAAAGGAGTCCCGATAGACAAAAGCGTAATATAACCGTACAGTATGTCAACACTGGCTGCGTAATTTCAGCAGCATATTAGCAGAATGGTCCATTCAGTTCCAAGTGACCATTAGTCAATTGGCCGCTGCAGATCAGTTTTCAGGATCTGCATATATGATGCTTCGTTAGCACACCATCTTATCTAACTACAGTGGAACCAGCCACATTTTCACTCTTGGCAATATCTATTTCTGATGCTTTTTATTTTTGATCATAACTGTTATATTTCATTTGTCTTTTAATTTGAATATTATAGCTTGTCATTGTGATAATGACCATCTTTTACTCAAGCCCTGTTATAATGTTAAATAGTTTATTTGATTTATAGGCACAATATTTTACTGAGCCTTGCCCGCTAAAAAGTCTAGATTGCTCCCTCTGATTACAACTGTGATCTCCAGGGTGGAACTCTTTCTCATTTTTAATTGACAATATTCCTTTGTCCTTTTTGGCCAACAATCATGGAGATTTTTTTCACCAATACCATAACAAGAGCTCACTAATCTGGTTAACACTATGAAATCTTCTCCTCGACATTTTACCCACCACTTTGTTACAAACGTTGCTGACACCATTGTGTACAATAACAAGACAACAATGTTCAAAGAAGTGGATAATTACAAACTTTTATAAGTACATGTAAGTGATAAAACAAAACCAGTTACAGTGTCACCATTAAAACAGCAGTCACCTCTAATCTTTCATCACCCCTCAGTAACAGACCTTATTTTGACATAGACATAGAACCTCCTGTTAATAACCATACCAGACATTCCTAGTAAGAGCCTTATAGAGTGGATAGAGAAACATTTAAACATCCACTATTTCATGACTGCTGGGCAGATTCACTAATATGATCTGGGCCTCAGGACCCCAAAGAAATGGATCTTATGGTGGGATTATTTTGTCAATTGCTATTTCCAAGGTCAAGAATTACCTCTCAGTCCAACCACTCTAAACAGTTTCAACAAAAAAGGAACTCCAACTAGGACGGAGTGGAGGCCTTATCCCATTTCCTATTACAAGCCCACCACAGAAGCTACTGCAGTGCCAGTGATGAAGTTCAGGACATGTTGTGGGAGCCATATCCTGCTGCTTCCTTCGTCAGAGCCAGATGGCACAGGTTCAACAAGCCCAAAGATCATGTCATAATGGGGGGTCCGTTCCCTTCCAGGAACCTCCAGCCAGCAGCTGCTTCAAAGAAAACTAGAGGCAATATTGAAAAATATTACTTCCCCACCCACTGCCGCACATCTGGAGAAACTGACCAGTTGGAGAACTGGCAGTCATAACCCTCCTGTATTAAGAAAATGAAATCCTATAAAAAAGCATTAGCATGCCACAGAAATCAAGTGACAGCTCACTTCTGATTTAAAGAGGGGTACAGAAAGAAAGAACACCTGCAGCTCTACAATAGCTTTACTTTTCAAAGCAGATCAAACCTCCCTGCGTTCTTTTCACCCTAATCTTGAGGACGCCTGGATGCCTCTACGTGGACAATTTCCAGACACACCCAACTAGGAGATGACACAGAGGCAGAGCCAGAACAAGCTGGGGAGGTTAATTATCTCATTTAACCTGGAAACACCTCTGGATCCCCCAGGAGGAGCTGGAGGATGTGGGTGAGAGGAAGGATGTGTGTCTGCTGCCATCATGACCCTGATCTTGATAGATGGATGATAATCTGCATGTTTGTAGAAAGAGAGGGGTATGTGATTTTGATAAAATATTAATATGAACACCTTTTTTTTCTTATAACATAATTATTTTATAGAAAAAAGAAGCAGTGACATCACTACCCAAAAATTGGGAAGTGAATGGTTAAGCCTACCTCTGTTATGGTTTTGGAGCTTTGTAAATAATATTCCAGTTAAGTAATAAAGGAAAAAGGATAAACACTGCTTCATCACCAACACCAGTGACGGTTTGAATATTTAATTTGCCTCCACTCTGACAAATTCAAAATTTATAGAACAAGTAAAACAATTACACCATTAAAGCATGCTAGAAGAATTGTGATGCAAGGTTATTACATTTCTTTATGTTGGGTTGGCATGTCTGAGGTACTTGTACTAGTGCCATGGGGTTCAAGTGTTTCTTTCCCTCAGTGCATACTTCATGTGAAAATGGAAATGTACCTAGTATTTTAAGTGTTGTGAACCTTTCACAAGGTCACAGGCCACACTATCACAATGTACTCTCAAAATACGAGGCCATAGACTTTGTTAATGTAGCAGATAATTTAGGTAATTCAGAAGAGTATTTGATTCATACTGATATTTTTTGGGTATTTGTATAATTAATTTAAAATAGAGTGAAAACAGTGAACAACATAGCCATCTGCTAGTTCAGCACCATGGACAGCACCGTGGATTCATCAATACACAGCACAGTTAGGCTTCTGATATCACACAGAGCCAAACAAACTGGGCCGTCTCCATTAACAACATGAATTGTATGTCTCTCTCTCACAACTCAGCTCAATGTTTAACTACATCACCCGTTAACTTCATGTCATGTTGCATTAACGTATTTCTTACAGACACTTGGATGACTCCACAGGAGCAGGATGGAGGCATTTTATGCTTTTTTTCTGTTACTTCAATTATATTGGATTTTAACCCCTGAAACTCCAAAAGTGTTTAGTGGACACTTCACCCTCCTCTCCATCAGCAATGTGGTGAGTAGATAATGAGTGAATCTTCATTTTTCAGTGAACTATCCCTTTAATATGAGCTTCTCCTGAAGAGCGGTAGCAAAAGAGAAAGAGATTTGTTGCTGTTGAAATTGTTGGTTGTGATGAACTCAAATCATCAGTGTTTTTTTTCTATTACATTCTATATCAGGTCCATGAGAAAATTATTTGATGTCACATCATGTTGCAGGTCGGAACAGGTCAGGACTCCTCCCTTCTCACAATTATGGAAGTTTGGAATTGGTTTCACAGGTTGGTTAAAACACATGATGGTACAAATCACCAGTGTAAATGCTTTTAGACATTTACTGTTGGTGTGAACACAAATGTCAGAGAGCCTCTGGACTTTCTGCAGACTTTATAACATGGGGCTGGCCGGAGAAGACACCGACAAAGATGTCAGGAGAGTCTGTTTTGATAAGAGCAGACACTGTTGTCAATGTGCTGTAAACAAAAACATGTGATCTCCGCACTGGAATAAATACTTTAAGTCCTGCCTCCTGCATGCTGCTTCACACCTCACCTCCTTCTGAGATTTCTGTGTTGTTGTCAACGCATCTGAGCGGAAAATCTCCTGCTGCATTGTTCAAGTGTGAAAGGCAAACTCCGGAAAAGTCATGACCCAATTCTCTAGACAGTTTCCAGAGGTCTTTCTGAAAACAGCTAATGAGTTATTTCTGGCCAGTTAGCAGACGCTTCCTACAATAACACGCGTGATAAACATGGGTCTTGGTTTTAGTATGAAGAGCTTCAAACTCAACTCAAACAACCTTCATATTGTTAATAAGCTGTTTTTTTATATATTCAAGCAAAATTATTTTCAGTGTGTTTCCAATAAATACTCAGCACAGCTCCCCTGCTCTGTTCGAGGTGTCACTATGGTGCTGCAATCCCCTGTTTTATAACAATGTGTGGACCAAAAACTGGCATTGACCTCAAAGCTTCAGGCCACCTGGGGAAACCCGACCATGAAAAGTATCTGTGGTCTAGGAGAGAATGTCTTTTTCTTTCTAGGTTTTCCACAGCCAAATCCCAGGAGTGTGTTTGTTGTAGGGGATAGTGATGTATGGTGTTCACACTTTTCTTTCTTTATTTTATATTTTTTTAATAGCAGCTGTCAGACAGCCTTGGGTATTGAGCTCTTTTCAGAGTCTGGAAGAGAAGCGAACAGACCTCTTCATCCCAGAGATTAGCCCGTGAAATACCTGCCGCTCCAACACATACATTACTTTAATGTCAGAACATTTCAACGCGCTGTCATTCTTGGCAGTAAAACTCAACGCCAGCGTACTGTACTGTCAGTCATTCTGGGATTTATTTTTTACTCCTTGTTTTAAAGTTACATGTCGTGCCAACTGTTTTTACACATACCTCATAAGCAATGATCTTCTCCCTGCTGGATCCCAAGGGAACTGGTTCCCAGTACACCTCAATCTCGGAGGCTGACAAAGCACGACCCCGCACTCTTGCTGGTGCCTCCGAGGGCTCTAAAGAGGATGGATCATGAATTATACATGTTTGCAATTAAGAGTGAAAGAACACATTTTCAGGACTTAACACAATCAGTTTTGCGGCATTTGCAGGTGAATAAACTCACCCTCCTCCGCAGAAAAAACTCGAACAACACGGCTGAACTGCCCCTCCCCCAGGCTGTTGTACACGCCCACCTTCACTTCAAACAGGGTCAGGGGTGCGATGCTGTCGTTTCTGTGGATATATCTGGATGCATCGGCCGATGCCAGCACCGTCTGGATCCAGGTGCTGCTGCCGAGTGGGCGTAAAGCCACCACATAGCCAAAGTCCTCTCCGCTTTGCTGTTCCTCTGGAACTGGCTGAGATAAGAACAGAAAAGTTACGTCTTTCACATAAACAAGTGTGAGCAGAAATGAAATTAACGATGAAACAAAATGTGTTTGGGGAAAAATACAGAGGTAACATCTTGATCCCTTTGAATCACACCCAAAAAATTTAAAGTTTTTTTGTAATTCCAGATTTACACATTCAAAATATCCTCCTGCTTCCATATCTTGGGTTTGATTTAGACAACAAGGGAAAAACTGCAGGCAGGAAATCAGAAAAGCTACGGCTTTAATTAAAAGCCACGGTGCTGGAGCCAGACAACCTCAGCCACACTAACTCTGCCAGAAGTCCATTCTCATCCAAAGATTCAGAGAACGCTTTCCCACAATCAATGCCCACTCAAAAAATACCCATGATCCTCTTACCTCCCAAATGATGACAAGTTCTCCTCGGGCTCCGCCGCCACCGCTCACATTGACTGGTGCAACCTTGGGAACTAAAGAGGCACAAAGGAAACCTAATCACCCCTCCGGTTTGGACTGTTGTGACTGAGGCAGGTGCAGAGGATTCTGGTAATACGCAGCTTTGAACGGGGTGATCACAGCAACTCAAGCTTCTTATTTACACAAACGGGTTAATCACACAGCAGAGGAATTAGTTTTTTTTGTTGACAGAGGCATTACCACTTCTGTACGCTGCAGTTATTAGACCAGCGGCGTATGTTGGCACCATGTGTGAGGCACAATGGGAAATTTGTTCCCTTGTGAGTCAACCAGCAGGATGGAATAACTCATTTAACCAGCTCAAAATAGACACTTTTCATGTTGATGTCTCATGGCATGTGTGGGGAAGTCACATTATCGGTTGATGTAACCATTAATTAATCATGGTGTTAAGCTACACACACACACACACACACCACACTCACACACACACACACACACACACACACACACACACACATACACACACACACACACAGTGCTGATACTTAAATGTTTAAAAGTGTAATTAAATTCTGACTTATTTAGCATGAGACTCAGTAATCAAAGTACTGGCATGAAAAGGAACAACTCGGAGCACTGAGGGAAAGTGAAACTCATCAAACAGTTAAATTACATTTTCCAAGTGGGACTGATTAATTTGTTATGAAGAGAAACAACAAATTGAGAGGATACCTGCGGCTTTGGTTCGGATCTGTTTTGATGGCGTGCTGGGTTCTCCTACACCAACACTGTTGATTGCCACCACCCTGAATTCATAATCCACCCAGGGGTTCAGATCTGTCACTGTGGCATGCATCATCTGTCCAGGCACAGAATCAGGAACTAGGATTAAAGAATTTAGAATTGAGATGTGTTTTGTTCTTTTATTATACTTTTTTTCTAAACTGAGGCACATTTCACATTTAGTCTCCAACACATTGAGAAAACATTTCACAAACCATCTCAAACTGAATGGTGACATTTGTAAATCTTGTAATACTATTTGAATTACAGTACATTCCAGGGCAACACCAGTCCGACAACTCTTCATTTTCATTAATTCTGTCATTATTTCTTGATATTACAAAGGAATGCCTGCATCTCAGTTTTACACATAAAAGTCATGAATAAATAGAATTACTCAAAATAAATGTGAATTACATTACTGAGCTCAAAACCTTCATGCAAGAGGTTTTGTTTCAGGCTCAATTAATGTTACAATGATCACTTTGATGTGTGTTAAATGTCAGACTGATCACTGAGTCTTTCTCCCATGACCCTGTGTGTGTTTGTTTTGAATGAGTATGAATAAACTGCCAGTGGTGGTGGAAGTACTCAAACATTTTACTGAGGTAAAAGTAAAAATAACTAGACAAACATATACGCAAGTAAAATTAAAGCTATCACATTTCTTTTCTACTAGAGTGAAACTAAGCACTTGCTTTTGAATCTACTTAAAGTGATCAAAGTGAAAGTACTTGCAGAGTGTATCTTTTTCCACAATACAACAGCCAACTACCTCATTAACTGTACTGTATACTTTGTTTAATACAGAAATAATACAAACATATTAAATATTAATAAAGACTGCTGCAGGTGATGCTACTGAAAACACTTTGTTATAATAATCAATGGCTGAGTCTCAGTGGCCCCTACTGAATCTTTGTCAGATGTTTCTTCTTCACCAGTGATGCAGCTGCCGCAGTGTGATATTGCAATGCAATGACTTATGAAAATATAATGGAGCAGATGTTTGCTGTAGTGGAGTAAATGTGAAAAGTACCTGAAAATAAGTCGATTGAAGTAAAGTATCAATGTTAGAGTAACGTAGAGTTACAAAGTAAATGTATTTTGTTGCATCCCAACACTGGTTTCTGCATCATTGTAAGACCACTTGCATTAACTGTATCTAAATCTGGTTCTTCATGCCTGTGGAAGTCACTCATACAGAATCCAGACCCCAGGAGCTGCTGTGCTTTAACTTGTGCAGCAGACAAACAGCAGCTCTTTCATGCATGCAAACATTACTTTTCTCTATGCTAATGTAATCAAGAGGCTTCAACAGATACAGTATAAACTGTATTTCAGCTGTATTGGTTTTCAGGCCTGTTGCTTTATCTCTTTTAAGTCTTTGTTACTTTTATTTTCCACATTCCCTCACAAAAATGCACAGGAAAGTAAATAGCTGTTCAAACATGTTGCATATGCATTGGACTGTTTCCAGAGATACATCATGACTTCCCTCCTCTGGAGAATATTTAGAAGCCGCTATACAGGTCATAGTACCAGACCATTTTAATCAGGGTTGGGGAAAAATATTAAAAAGTACAACTAATGTCTGTCTTTGTATGGTATAGTTAAGAAGCAACAAGCTGAGAAACATCAACACATGATATTACAACCCACAATGAAACTGTTAATTGTGTACTAAAAAGAACTCTGTGGGAAAACTCTGTTTCATTCATAAGAACATTATGAACGATCATAGCCTGATGACACAGTCTGTCCTCGGTACTGGCTAGTGAGTGGGAAAAAGAGTGGGATGGTGTTGCAGCTGTTACCTGTTCTCACAGTCTGCCAGCCTATAGAGAAAGAGGTCCTGGCCTGCACCATGTACATGGTAACAGGGCTGTGGTTGTCAGGTCCAGAGCCCCAGGAAATTTGCACGGTGGTGTCAGTGATGTCAGTCACCAGCAGGCCCTCCGGGGCACCGGGGGGTCCTGCAATACCCAGAAACAAGGAGAGGTTCCTACATCAGCCACTGAACAGCAAAAGCCAAAACAAGTGAAATCCTGGCAGGTTAGCAACGGCAGACTGAAACTCCAACAGAGGTGTTAAGTGATTCATAACACAGGGAGCAAGCCCAAATTCAGGGCTAGTGGAGATGGGGGGTGGGGGGCAGTCTAATCAATACACAGAATAATACCATTTAATCATCAAATGAGAGGAACATTTAGAAATGTAGACCTGCGTGTGTCTCAAACAGCAAGCAGAGGAGAAAAATCAGTATTTATAAGGAGATAACTTTAATGACCAGGGATTCAGGGAAAACAAGGCCGGTTTTTCAGCAGTGATCTAATTGAAATTAGTTGAAGCGGCAACATGAGATCAAACAAACAAGCCGGGACTTGGATAACCGTCATGAGATTTCCTGCTAAGCTCCGCAAATCTCTGTAAAAGTAGCAGTGAAGCCTCAGCGGGGCTACCTGCTGCTTGGAAGAAGATCACTGGGTATCAACAATGTTGTCTCAGATTAGGCATACAAAAAAACACACAGTACAATCTGCATGTTAAAGCTGCAGCATCTGACTTTGGCTGCAGTCTCTTGACGCTAGGCTTTGCCAGTACAACACGATTAATTCCCGGCTTGAGGTCAGCCTAGACTTCTCTTGCATTATCTAACAAATTGCACATTTTACAAAAGGTTTAACTGAACACAAAACCCAATACAAGAGAGCTGGTATGAATGTAAAAAATAAGAGTAAAGCGAACAAAGAAATATTCTTAATATATTAAAAGTAGAAAAATAATAAAATACAAATCTGAATAAAATAAACCATCAGAAAAACACAAGGAAAGAACCATCCATTAAGGAGGTTTCATTAAAATGTTAAATAAGCAGGTGTGTTTGCATGTAAACTTCAGTTTACCTCTCATGTGTGACCCCGCACTTAAACACTGGTCTTTGAAGACACAACAGTAAAGTAATAGTAATATAATAATATAATTTTGATTATTATTATTATTAGTAGTAGTAGTATTTACAGCAGTTTTGAGTGGGTTTGAGTTGTGTTTTGAGGTTGTAAAATTCTGTGTATAGTCTCTGATTTGTTTGGGAAGAGTTCCAGAGGGAGAGGGCTCTGCACATCTGGTTCACATCAGGTCACGCAAGATTTAGATGTAAATATCTCAAATCCCTTAATTTCCAGAAAAAAGAAGAAGAAAGGAAGAAAGACACTGGTTTCTTAGCATTAGCTACAAGCTGTTACAGTTCCATAATAAAAAACAACCTAACAAATTAGTCAGTCACTTTATTATTAGAAAATTCTTAAAATCATTAATTTTTTTTTTTTTTAATATTCCATCTGTACTGATAAAATGTTATAATGTATAAATGCAACAGGCTTTGCACTGCACTCTATAGGGAGGTGTTCTAAAACGGCATTGTCCATCTTGTAACCGTCAGTGCAAAAGAGACTCTGGGCTAGGACCCGAAATGACCCAGACTTTGAGGCAGAGATGAAGAGTTCAGAGCTATAATAAAAACAAACGGGACGAGGCTTGTGGCTGGTGGAGACCGGCAAAGGTCAGAACCAGGGAGAGAAGGCTGACAAGAAACCAAACAAATGCAAAAGCGAGAGAGCAGTAAAACAAAGAAACAGCAGAACAACAGCAAACAACTGAACCAGCAGTGAACAACACAAATTACACTGTGGCAGCTCAGAGGTGGAACCACAAGGTTATAAATGACACTGTCTTAACACTGGTGCAACAGAAAACTGGAGGGAAATCACCAAAAAAACAGGAAGTAATATCACAAAAGAATGGAAATTTCAAAATAAAGTCCTCACAAAATGGCTTAAATAGGAAACAGATTATGACACATTTAGCGACTGTGTCCCACGCTGGTAGTTATTTAGGCTATTGTTACTTTAAGAAAATAACAATAGCATTTTACAAATCCCCACCACCAATGAAAAATAAATTAATGTTTGTTGACTATACATGTGTCCCTCTAAATAAATCTCAAATTTGAAACATATTTCCAGAAGAAAGGCAAAAAAAATGCAAAATGCAGATTCAATTTTATCTGTTTCTAGGAAAGGTGAGGGATATTTATTTGTACAGCACATATAAAAGGTATCACGACAAATTGTAAAACAACTTTGTTCCTTTTTGAACTTATCGATAAACCATAGTTTCTACCTTAGCCCTTATAAAAAGAAACAAGTTGTGATCTTGTCTGTTTTATATCCTTTAATGTCCACCCAATTGAATTTAAATTTAAAAATGTGAATACAAACCAGTATTGGAAAAACCCCTTTCAGTACAGTTTTTTACTGTAACATAATACCACATATCCCACATCAGAGGGCAGAGTGACAGCTCTTATTCTTAAGTAAACCAAGTAATAATACAATATAACAACACTTAACCCATTAAGCAGTAGGGAGGCATTTAATGTGATTTAATGCACTTCACCCACCCCTCCACTGGCACAGTGGTGAGTAGGTAATGAGTGAATAACATTTTTTGAAATATCCCTTTAAAGGAGGAAAACGCATATGTCTGATATGTAATCACATATACAACATTTGTGCTTAAAATATATAAGACAGTTCAAATTAAACGTCAGAGATGCAATGCACAACATACGGTACATGGTGTTGTAAAGGGTTTTCAGTGAAGTATTTTCAAGCTGCTTTCTGATATTTTCTACAGCCCTGAAACTTTGGAGGTCATTTAACTGTATATCTGTGAAAGTGCCGTGATCACTGAGCCCACAGGTTAAATCTTTAATTTCAAAAAGTTCATGGTTGTCAATCTGACAGTCTCTTAAAGCAGTTTTTATCTGAAAACTGACACTGAGGTGATACATCTCTTACCTGACAGCAGTGAGATTCAGCTTGTGTGTTAAAATACAAAAAAACACACACGAAATACCCCACAAAACAAGAAACGGAAACCTCCGCAGAGAGTGCTACAAAATGACAAGCGGTGTAAGTGAGGAGGAACAGCCGTACCTCTGACAATTAGGTCTGCTGCTGCTGAAACGGTGTCGACTTCTGTGTGTACCATACACACATACTTCCCAGAGTGCTTCAGCTGAATGTTCCTCACCATCAGGTCACCTGCGAATCCCTGATGACAAAGACACAAACGTATGAGAGACTCAGGAAGACAGAAAAACACAGAAAGGGGCAAAGTCAAAAGAAGAAATATGGAAAATCCTGAGAACACATTAAAGGTCTGTGTCTGTCTTATTGTGTAAATCCCCCACAAAAAAAAGCTTGGATTGACCACAAGTGAATCAACAAAATGACACAACAGTGTGGTAACACACATTCATTCACTTATACATGGTTAAGAAGGCTGCACAAACAGTTTTGTTTTCCTTTGGATCAGTGTTTGCTGTGTTCACACTTTAATGTTACTGCTCAGAGAGTTCTCAGAGTGGCTATTTCCACTTAACTAACCCTACACACACACACACACACACACACACACACACAGAGATAGTGATTCAGAATTCAGTGGTTTGTGTAAAAATCAATGGCGAGTTAAACAGCGGTTGTGCTTATGCACAGTGTGGAAATGTCAGAGCTGTACAGTGACTGCGGTGCGCCTGGCGCTCTCAGCCAGAGGGAGCATAAATCTTGTAATCACTAGAAATATGGTCTCCTTGTTTTTTCAGGCTGAAGTTGATTGATTTTCTCATACAGTGAGATCACCTCGGGGCAGCAGAAATGTCATCCAGGTTATAGGCTTTCCCTTAAGACACGACACTCAGTAACATCTGCTGGTATCTCTGAATTAAGAGTGAACGATCGTGACACACAGGCTCAAAGGCGAACGCACACGAAAACTGGAATTTCTTTGATGCTCTCATACAATTGTATCGAATTATACTTAAAGGACCATAGAAAGGCTAATAAAAGTGGAGGCAATTCAAAAATACACTTACAAGCACCTTTACGGTTTTTAAACAAGTGAAATATTAAACAAGAGATGAAAACATAGTTTGATATTTACATCCATCCACTAAGTATGAGGCTACAGCCGGCAACAGATTAGCTTAGCTCAGTACAAACACTAGAAACAGTGATGATTCACTGAGTCTAACCACTAAAGCTCATTAAATAAAAGCTGGGCCTCAATTCAGGGGCCGCAGCAGTTGGTGGCTTCAATTAAAGACTGTTTGTGTCTCAGCGGTGCATGTGACTAGTCCCATTTTGAAGGTTGTTGCAGATTAACGTGTTCTCCCATTTCTAAGCAATAAAGAATTGTGGATTGTTCTCAGGCCACCAATCCCAGGATTCACTGCACGCCAGTGACAAAGCGCTAGCTACAATATCTGGGTATTCTAAATGATTCCTCCCTTGCTTTTAACCCACACGTGCATAGCTAGAATCTTTCTTGGATCTTTAGATTTTGGTTGTTTTTATTTTTTGGTTCGTAACGATGTGTTTTCACCTGTGCTGCTGCCTATCTTGGCCAGGTCTCCCTTGAAAAGATATTTTTTCATCTCATTGAGACTTTCCTGTTAATTAAATAAAAATATAAATATGGGTGGCTGAGTGGCAGTAGGAGCAGCTGCAAGAGCTCATGCATGTCCGTTTTGGGAAAGAGGACAGAGGCTGCATGTCAATCCACAGAGCTGTGTAACTGTGTGAGCTTACATAGAAAGCAGGGAGCGAGCTTAATTCCCCCCAAAGAAGTGTCACAGTCTCAGCTGACCTAACACGCTACAGATTAAACATTGATTTGTTTGACATGACGCCACAATTTCAACACTGATTAACACATAATGATCAATACATTTCTTAAGTTCAAATCTTTCTCCATAGCTGCGTGTGCATTCATCAGCCCGTTCTGCTCACTCTCTCTCACACACACACACTGTCACACACAAACATTGCGATCAGACATGTGTAAACTCATGACTGGGTAAAAACTACAGAATTTGGAAACTAAGACAATGTATGGTGGATCGCTTGGTTTGGCTTGATTCGTTTGAAAGTGACAGAGACACAGACAGAAACAGTGAATTACTGACAGAGCCACAGTCCAGGCATGTATGAAAAGACCCACAATGAACACTGTAAGAGGACTTATTGATCACTATAACAAAATTATTTATACAGCTGTTGTATAAGAGCGATTCTGTGCCGAGCTTTTTGATCCATATAAAATGTTTAGCACAATATCCGTGATCACTACATCCGGTTTCCACTGTATTATTTAATTATTAGTGACCAAAGTGAAACCAGTGAATATTTATGTACCTACCAGCAGCTGCAGGTGTTTGTAAGTGCAGATTGTCAGATCATCTGTTTCTTCCATCCTTTCAGAGTAAATTCTAAGCTATAACAAGTATATTGGCCAAAATGTCAAACCACTCATTTAACATTATGTGTATTTCTGTTGTACTGCCAGACTTCAGGGAAGACATACAGTCAGTATCATTCAGATGCAGTGGATCTCTTTTCATTAAAAAATCCTGTTATCATCCCATTCCATATTTTTTATCCAGGTTTTGATGATGGATTAGAAAGTTTAGAAGCACTCATGAGAATTCACTGCACACTGAAATCATGTCTCATTCAGCTCTGTGATATACTATCACAGAAATAAACTGGCAGAAAAGCAAAGCTCGGGTGCTTCAGTATCAGGTCCGGCTTTTAGAAAATGATGTCGGTCAAATCCTTGGCTCAATATCAAATATTGTGTTCACGCGCATTATACATACCCCTCCAATCATTTCAAAGTGCTCCTGTCTGATGAAATCAATGGCTTTGCCGTTGAAAAACCACTTAAAGACGGGGATCAGGGATGAATCGCTGGACACCTCGCAGGGCAACACAAGGCTCTGTCCCACGGTGGCGTCCAAGCTCAAGGGTGGAACTACGATTTTGGTGGGTTCTATAGCATTATGGGAAAAGGTAGGAAATAAAGGAGAATAATGTGTTACTGTATGTGTATAAAATCCTGCCAAATGACAAAGGTAATAAAACTTAATTTGTACCGAATAGTCCAGATTTTGCTCCATCAGTGTAATTAAATGACCTTAAATACTTCACTTAGGAGGCAAATGCCTTCCATAACCCTCTAATGAATTATTAAGCAAACTGCAATCACGGTGTCAACTAGAAAGAAACAGAATTGCTCAGTATAATCATAATTATTTTTAAAAACCCAAATCTGAAATTGCTTCTCAAGCTCCTTTTAAATTAAATGTTGAGAAAATATTCTTCACTCACAGCCGTGTAGCTGGCTGTGCTTTGCCCCACTCTGCTACATGAACAATAACTCACAGCTGACAAAACCATAGATGACTTATACGTCTGTCAAACCGCCGGGAACATAAAACGGCTATATATTTCATTATCAATTTCATGCTTGAGCTGGTATTTTTTTTCCCCTTAACAAAAGTTTACACCCTCGGCTTGGAAGGTACAGTAGTGGAAAGTTGAGGAGAGAAAAAACAAAAGAGAGAATTACCTTTCACCATCAGCATTCCTGTGCTGCTGGATGTTCCAAACTGGTTTCTGGCCACACACGTGTACCTGCCTCCATCAGATTTGGAGATGTTGGTGATGCGCAGGGTCCCATCCTCCATGATAGACTGTCTGAGGGGAGTGGCAAAACTAAAACAGCACATCATGGCTTCACAGTTCTCATTTCCTTATCAATCAATTACTTGGTTGTTAATTAAATAAAAAGTGATGATAAGAATCACTGGGACTAGACTTCCTGCCTGAGATATGAGGTCTCATCTCTCAAGCCGTTTTTTTTCCTCTCCCCTGTTTATTTGGTTTTGAATGAAGGTTTCAGAATCTATTCCAAAAGTCTATTTGCACGGTCCAGAAGATAACAATTATCTTGCTGAGGCAGAACAGCTTTGTTGTGAGGTCAGCACAGTATTGACGCCATTTATTCATCAGCTAAAACGCACATATTAATTGGACACACAACAGGCCAGTGTTGGGCTGGTTGGTGAAAAGAGGAGGATGAGGAAGAGGAAGAGGAGGAGGACGGGATCTTTACCTGCAGCCTTATCGCTCAACAACACGTGGCAGATTGTATCAAGGCGCTACAAGCCTTCTGAGAGGCAGTAACATGGGAGATACAGTATGTAGAAGCATCGGACTTGGGAAGAAACCTCAGGCTGGTTTCACAGGAGAAATAAAACTGAGAGTCTGATGAGAAGCACTTGGTTTTTACTGTATTTATTCAACAATATTATATTTGTTCAGAAAGTGTAAGGTCAACCTGGATTTCTCCCAAATCTGTCATTCTGTGCCAATGTTATGTCATATGAAATCAAAGTAAAGGTTGCATATGGCTACGACTAGTAGTTGTCAACTATTTACAAAAATGGCTAGTCAAGGACACATGTTTTTTCTGACCCTCGTCAACATATGTGTTGGAGAATTCAATTCAATTTGTATAGCTCAAAATCATAATATACATTATCTCAAGGCACTCTACATGTTAAGGTTGAGACCTTAGAATTACAGAGAAACCCTGCAGGTCAAACAATGAGCAGCACTTTGGCGACTGTGAAGAGGAAAAACTCCTGTAGGGAGAAACCTCTAGTAGAACCAGGCTCAATGTGGGCTTTCATCTGCCTCGACCGGTAGGGGTGAGCAAAGAAAAAAGGGGAGGAGAGGGGATATGGGTGGAAAAGAGGGGAGAGAAGAGAGAGAGATAGTGGGGAGGGGGAGGAGAAAGAGGCCGGGAGCACTTGTGCACCATCAGGTTTATGTGGTTTATGTGGTTATATGTAGCTCTGGTATTGTTGTTATACTTTAGGAGAGCCTTACACATATGCAGCTGAAAGTTGTATCTGTATGAGTTAAGTGTTTCCAAACACTGTGTCAACTTTTGGTTTTGATAGTCGACTGTTGGAGTAGTCTGTGAAACCCCTGGCCACAACATGTATGAGCCCAGAGAGGCCAATCAGGAAAATAAAAAGTAAGAGCTTTCACCACCACTGCATTTGTTGTTGGGTTTTTTTCAGATCATTATTCCTGAGTGCACTTTAGTCATCGAAGACGACTCAACAGGACAACTGTGTGAAAATGTGTATCAACTCAGCTCTTATGTAAGAAAATCAACCAGAAACTGAGGGCGAGAAAAAGTGAGAGTAACATATCCCCCCACATCTCTAGTGGATATTATGCCCTCCTTCATAAAACTTCAGCTCTGAACAGTCAAGTGGGAGAGCATGTAAACATATGCATAAACGAGGCAGATAATGCTCTCCTGTTGTGACCTTTGGATTCAATAAATCAAACAGAAATACTGTGAGCAGCAAGCTAAAAAAATAAAAACGCAAACAATTTCATACTGGTTCCCGAGAATAAATATGTATTCACTTGGGCTGAGCTGAGAGCCAGAGACCATGTCTGACACGGGGGTGCTTTGCAGTGATTTATTGACAAACATATCAAACGCTGAGTGATGGAGGCGCACTGAGAACATGACCTGAGGGGCAATGAGCTGCAAAACAAATAGAAAGGTAAAGAACTATCTGCTTTGTGGACAAACTCCGTTCCATGCTGTGAATTTCTATTCTTGTCCAAATGTGCTGCCTGGGAAATGCATGGGTAATTTTTTTTTCTCCCTTTCCTCATGACCACTCAATGGAAAACATGAAAACTAATCAATCCCTCCGGTCGCTTGTTGAGGCAGGTCCTGTGAGTAACGAAGCATCTATGGAAAGCTGGCTGTACAAACTGATCCCAGCCTGAGCACAAATGGAAATACGAAAGGCAATATAAAAAAGAAGAGAAAGCATCTATGGACTTGATTTCACATAGTAGCAGAATGCAAAGTGAAACTAAAAGTCAGCATACAATATATTGTAAAAGGTTCAGTGTGTAAGATTTAGGTGAAAGGGATCTATTGGGAGAAACTGAATATACAATATAGCAATGTTTTTTCACTAGTGTGTAATAATTATCTAAATTGTACAAATTGTTGTTTTCTTTACCCTTAAATGGCTCCTTTATATTTAAATACTCTACATCTGGAGGGGGGACCTCTCTGTGGAGGCACTGAACTGGACAAACAAGACAACTTTTGCGCGTTTCTGGCAACTGAAGGCTACAACTGGTTCTCTTTCATGTTTGGAAGGGGAGGATAAGGTGAGGGGTGTTCAGAAGCAACATGAAACTCCACCACAAAACTCCTTTCCAGTAAAGACTGAAAATAAATTAAAAATAATTAAATGCACCACATGAATGAAACAGAATGTATCTACACATGATGAAAACCACTTGGTAATAATAACAATTTGAGTGCAAAGTGTTTTCCCTTGGCTTCTCTAGCAGACATCTCTAATTTAGCTTTCAACCATAATCAGTATAACATCAAAGTACAGTTAATAAAGGCAGGTCAGTCACAATAAAATAAGCAGCCAGAATGAAATTATAACTGACAGCTCAAAGTGCCTATCATTAAAAACACTGCATAAGAAATGAAAGCATATAAACATAGTACAGTTCAAATCTATGTTAACATTCGGGTGTTGAGATATGTTTTCAGCTTTCTTTCGAAAATATCTAGTGAGCTTCCCTTATATCTATCTGTAGTGTGTTCCATAGTTTTGGGGCATAATTGACAAAGGCTGCATCCTGATCTTCTTTTGGCTGCTGCTGGGAATAAAACAAGTATTTAAAAAAAGAAAGCTACTCTGGTTCTTCTTCCTGAATTACCAGTAAACCTTAAAGATGCACCATAAGCGTTTGAACTCAGGAAACAAACTCAAATTGAAATATCGAGGCACAAAATGTGACATTTGTCGTTTTCCTCTAAATCTAATTCTCAGACATTCAGCAGACACTTTCTTCCAATCGACTCCAACGCTCAAGTCAAGTTTACCTGACAGAGGCTTGAACAAAATCCCGTTGAGAGTTCAGTTACCACGGTAATACCTGTGTTCATACAAATACCGCCTTGCATCTTACCGATATAAATTTGGACTGAAGACAAACAGGGGTTTTTGAAGTTTCACGAGCATGTACCTTTAGGTTGGCGGATTAAACTAGAGAGGTGTAAGAAATAGTCTGGTCAGTGGATGAAGTGGACAACCAGCCACCAGGGAACGATCACAGGGTTTTGGCTTTACTTTAGAGAAGACATGTTGTCCACCTTTGTTACATACAACCAGATGATGGCTGGATGTAGCCACGTCCTCATGTGCTGTTGTCACTGATGTGACATGAGGTTAAAGCCTCAGTATCCTCACAAAGTGATGATCAATGTAGAAAAAGAAGAGATGCAATAATACAAAACATATAAAGCATTGTTATTGTAAAGCTGTCTACAGCCTGTAAGCCCTTATTTTATGAATGGGATAGAACCAAAAAAGTAATCTTGACATTTCCCTGTTTGACTGCTTGGGTGTTTGTCAGTCATTTTAAATTTTTCAATGTAACAACAGAACAATTTGGGAGAATTTTGGTTTTATTTGTTTGTTTTTACACAGCAAGACTTGGACCTTGATTTAAAAGAAGTGAGAGTTGCAGCAGGATGCAGTTCTCTGGGAGTTTGTTTCAGATATGTGGAGCATGAAAACCAGATGCAGCTCCTCCATGTTCAGCTTTGACTCTGGAGACAGACAGGCAGACCTGTCCCAGGCAATCTGCGAGGTCTGGAAGGTTCATAACGCAGCAGCACATCAGAAATGCATTTTCAGCCCTAAAACCATTCACTGCTTTAGAAAATCAACAGCTGCATTTTGAAAATAAACTCTCTGACAGACAGAAGGCCTGTGTAAAGATCTAAGAACTGGAGCGAAAGAATAAAACTTCTCACTCCTCTGCTCTTTGACTTAATGTTCACTTCTGGCTAAAGCCAATTCCAGCCAGAAAACTGAGGCGGATTGGTTGTAACTCTGTACAAGTTGCTGGTGCTCAACATAGGCATTCTGGCAACCACTTATTTACCAATGCACATGACTGTGCTTTTGAAGACAGAACCATTTGAATGTCTTCCTTGTATTTCTGAGGCATGTTCTCAGAATTGTTATATTTTATACACAGGGTGGACAAAATGTTTTCATTCAGTGTACCCCAAACACAATAAAAAAAGATAATAGAGACAAACACATGCTGTTGAAACCAGTATTGGAGAGAAAATAAAATCAACAAGTTTCAGAAACAACAGTGTTCTTGAGACAGACAGACTGAAATAAGACTGTTTTCGTCACTCTCTTTATTTGAAAATCTCTCCTATGGAAATTCAACTCACTAAAGTTGCTGCCTGAACGGAACAAAGAGCTGAGGCTCTCTCGGAAAATTGATGCAATTAAGTTAATTATAAGTTTTGAGAATGACAAGGCCTCCTGATGGTGTTTTACACAAAAGACAAGCTTTCAATTTCATGTCTGATAATGACAATAATAACAGCTTTAAGGGGGGAAATGTCAGGTTGCCAATACTTTCCTTCCTTCTCCAGTTCGTTAGCAAATTAAGCTAATGTTAGTCTCATGAGTTGGTTAAAACCACTGTCTCTGGCTGACCTAACATTTGCACCCACGTTTGTGGGTGTTGATGGTCTTGACAACATTTTTCCACTTCATGGTACTAACCAGCAATGAAGCTGAAATATCCTGGATATGAACACTGCCATCTTGCGCCTGTATTGCACCCATAAGATGCCAGTACTGGGAATTCTGGGAATTTTAATCTGGAGCATTACTACCAAGATTTTCCTTTCATTGCTATGGTGCTGCAGGTGGATTCAATATGGAGTGGATTCTAAATTAAGTTTTGAAATACGGTGAGTTGGAAAAGCAGGTTTGGTGGCAAGTGCAGATTTATAGTGGCTAATGCTCCACCAGCACGTTTCCAGATGGTAGGTGGTGCTTGAAAGTGGTAGGCCACTGCTCCTAATCAAAGTGCATGTATGATCCCGGAACGTGAATGGATAATTTTGTCTCACTTTATTGAAACATAGCCCTGTAAATAAAGGAATATGTGTGTTTCGCTCTTGTGTTCTGTTGCTGCAATGTGTTTTGGCTGGTAGCACCTTATTGTATTTCTGATTCGGACTCTCAATGTCCTTGGTGATATACAAATAGTTAATATCGTCGCTAGTCTTAGCTCGTGGCTTTTCTGAAACTAGAGCAAGACAGACAAGATGGGCCATGAGCAGCTCTACTGGAGTCACCTCAGAAAATGCAAACATTGATCCTGCTCCTGCCGGGTTTGCTCGAACAGACATGGTCTGATCCGTAAACACGGTCTCAACATGTGTTTCAAGTGCTTCAGAAAGTGCGCTGACGACATTGGCTTTTACAACCTGGACTAGATCTCTTGTGCTGACACGTCCTCAGATGGGTCAAATGATCTCTGGAACAGGGGCCAAGAAGATGGGCTAATTCAGCACTGCAAATAAATGTGAAACAAAAAAAGCCTTGGCTAGTGGAATATCATTTACCACTTTTCGATCTCTGTACTGATGGAAGATTTCTTTGTTTCTTGTTTCTCTGAACTTATACACAAACCTTTACCTCCCTTTCATTTCCACCCAACACTTAATAGAAGCAGCTCCAACTGTGCTCCAATCGGCTGTTACTGGTGCATTAGCTTTTGCGAAGGCCAAGTGCAACAACAAGCTGTTTCTTTGTAGTTTGTAGGTGTTGCCTCAGACCTTAAATCATGACACTTTGTGGCCTGTCATGTAGTCAGAGGAAGGCTTTCACTGAAAGTCTGTAGTCGATTGTTTTTCCTCTGTGGTTTGCACACAAACAGCATCTTTACAGGGAGTCTGCTCTACGTCCAGCACTTTGACTGCTTTGAACAGCTTTGAAACTGCGGGACGCCGGATCATTTGAACTTTCAAACAACTAATTCATATATTGCTCTTGATATAAAGAACTGATGGATTCGGGATCATGACCTCACTCATACATCCACTAAAAAAGACATCAGTCAAAGCAGAACACTGACATATAAATCCATGTAAAAAAATAAGGTGTCCATCTGAAAAACTTTCTTGGACCAAACGAGGCTGTTTCATGCAACCCTGACTTCTAACATCCCTTTAAGCGGAAGCAGAAATAATAATGAGTCCCAGTAATTAACATGACCACAAGAATCAACCCTTTCACAGGGGCCATCAGTGGCACAAGCAGTGGTGCATACAGCACCATACCCTACCTCCTGCCGTCCTTCAGCAGCTCGCCCCCTCTCCACCAAGAGATTGTGGCCCTCGGGGAAGCGTGGGGTCGGCACTCATAGACAACCTCACCCCCTCTCTGGATCACCATGGACTTCTTCACAGGGCGCCGGGTGAAGTCAGGCGGGGAGGCTGAGGAGCAGACCCCATGTTAAGGCCATTTTTCTGGCTTTGCAGAAAGGTAACAGCTGAGCATAAGCCAAAAATCTCAAGTGCATCCATAGCAATTACAGAAATTATATTTCAACACCGGACCGGCTTATTGTATGAAATAATTATGGAAATGAGAGAGCGAGGCCACGGCTCACTGAGGAGACGCTTAAGCCTGTTTTTATTCATTCATTTAATTTCAGATATGGAGAGCTTTTCTTCTACTCACAACACAATGTACACAGACTGTACCTCTGCCTCGCCTCTGGTACAGCTCATTGTAAATGATACGAGGCGAACAAACTGCTTACCTACAACCTTGAGCTCAGCGCTGGCGTAAACGGCTCCATGTTCGTTCTCTGACACACACTGATACATGCCAGAGTCCAACAGACTAATCCTGGATATGGTCAGTCTCCCAGCTTCCACATGGATCGTCCCCTGTAAATCAGGCCAAATAAATATTATTGTCCAAATACTAGATTTTATGTGTGAAAAATCACCATGATTGTCTATAACATTTTTGACATAAATCTTTAATGTTAGTGTTAGCGTCTCACCTCTGCTGTTAGAGGCTGACCATTCTTTAACCATCTGTATGTAGGCCTAGGTTTACCAATGGCTTTACATTCCCACTGCAGATTAGCGTCGATAGCCATATGAGCATCCTTCAGTGTCTGGACCCAGTGCAGATGTTCAACATCTGTGGGGAAGAGCAATGCATATGAATAATTACTGAGAAAAGAAAAATCAGATTGCAGATTTATTGCATCTCCTGTGGTTTAAATCCAATGTGATTAAGCATTTTGCAATAACATGGGTGTTAACTTGTAACATGTCTTGTTTCGACAGATGGACTCTGGGTCAGATTAACATACATGAAAGGCCATGGCAAATTTGCACCACTTGTTTCATTCAATTTGCATCCCCGTGCTGCATGTAATTAGCTCCTGAATTAGCAGGGCAGCAGCTCATTACACAGTTAGTGCCTGGGACTGACCTCCAGCAGAATTGTACAAAAGGCACACTTCAGCGGGATTTCAGATAAACAGGTTCAGAAATAAAAATAAAGGAAATGTGCTCATTAAGATACAATGCAGGATGATCTATAGACCTCCTTGTATTGTGAAAGCAACAAGGAGAAAAAAAGCAAGACAAAAGAAAATACAACCGTAGGAAAAAAAAAAAAACAGCTATTACAATCAGAGGTGAGAGGAGTGGGATAGAGAAGCAAGTCAACCAGGACGTGGGAAGGGGGTGTGGAGTAGGAGGGTTGGGTGTTAATACAATCCCACCTGCACCTGGAGACTAATTCAAACTGTGAATATTCAAAAAAAATAGTTGCTTCCTACAGGGATTTCACAGATTACTAATCGTCAAGCTCAAGTTTAATGAGAACAAAACCATTAAAAGCCTTGTACCCCCTCCTTATTTGGTTTTATCTGTTCATTTGTTCATGTCATATTACTGACCTGTTTTCTTTCTGATAAGCTCTTATTAATGCATTTATATTTGGCTCACCAATTCATTGGAGTCTTTATGGCATCATCTCTGTGGGCACTAAATTTGCACAGTGTAGTCAAGTGGGGCTCACATAGAAATAGTGCTGGCTTATAAAGACTTAATTGTCACTTTACCAGGGGGTGTGTTGCAGGCTGGTGATAATCAAAGCCAATAACACCGGGCTTCTCTTATGTTCTCTACCAGTGTGAGATCTGATGTCATTAAAACAAATAATAAACTTAAATAAATAAATTATACAGCAGGAAGACCTAGAACAAGCTTTAGGGAAACTGCCACATTTATTCATGTTGCACATGGTTAGGCAAAATTATACAAAATCCCCAAATTTATGCACACAAGCAACAACAGTCCCAAAGGTTCACATCACTGAGGCATTGAACAGGCTCATCACTGAGTGTGTTTGCAGCTCCTTCAGCTAAACACCAACAAGAGTGAAAGGAAATAAAACATTTTCAGTTCTTATTTCTCAATCCAAAATTTGAGTTTCTCAGAACATGACAAACTTGTCCCAAATCCCTCACGTCAGCACATTTAAAAACGGTGAGCACTAAAATAAAATCTTTCATAAGCTACATGTTGCCTGTCGATTCACAAAATTGTCTCCAGTAATCAAATATACACAATTATAGTGGGTGGGTGATATCTACTATTGGAAGCTGTCATTTGTGTCTTCCACCAAGTGAGTGACAGCAGGTAATTTATCTGGACGTCTGCCAACATCTTGGCACTTAAAATGCAGTTTAAATTCAGATGAAACCAGATTGCATTTACTCTTGCTAGTGATATGCATCTCCAGTGTCCACATTGAAATCTGATTGTGATCTGACTGCTCTGTCCATCTTAAAGAATAGAAGATGCTGTGCTGCTGCGGTTTTCTTGGATTACTCCCTTTGCAATCGGTGTGGTCTCTACTCCATCCACAGGTGTCTTTACCTTCATGACTTCATGTGTTTACTGGCTTGTGAGCTGCTGATACCTTGCAGGTTTGGAACATTTGCATGCAATTATTATTTCTGCCCACGTAATTACCTCCACCAAGAAGGTAATCTTTTCATTGTTGTTTGTTTTCAGTTTTGGAAAAAAAACTAAATTCCATTGAATTTGTGAAAGAGTGGAGCAAAGCCCAAGGAAGAAACAATTACAGACGACAGACCCAGAGGTTCTCAACAATTCTGTTGATTTCTCAGAGAATCATTCATGGATCTTGATGAGATCACTCAGACATGTCTAGTGGACTGATAGTTGAATTTGAATGTGATTTCATAAGAAGACTGTTAGGCCTTGGCAGAGATATATGCTCCACTAAGTAAAAGTCCAGTTTTTTATTTGAAAACCACTGAGCAGATAACCACAAAACTTTATGAAAGGATTGGTTCAGCGAATAAATCATGGATCTAGATGAAAAAATCAGGCTCAGTTAGAGGATGTATATGTATCAATGTGTGTAATTTGACGCAGCTTTAAGTGGTCTGTTGGGCATCGGTGGAAGTATGCGTTCTGATGAGTGCTACTCAAGTTGTATATGGATTGACATCAAATTTGCATTTACACTTCCACGGGTCCTGAGTGCATCTTGGGTGTGAAGTGTTTTCAGGACGATTAATCACAGTGAGAAAGGTTCATTTGAGACACAATCGACAATGACTCTCAGTAGAGGTAGTGCTGAGTCAATGTTTGTTCTCAGCATGTATTCAAGAAGAAATCAAGACAGACAAACATGTGCAGAGTTTATATCGCTATCTGAGGTAACACAACCTACTCATGAGACATCGCTCATGAGGCACAAGGAACTTCTTTCTTTCCTTACACCTCCAAAGAACACGTGGAAGGTGATTAGCCTCTAACAAGGAGAATCCTAAACTAGATATCTGACCATAGCCTGCCTTGACATGAACCATTGAATCATCTTCAATGATTCAATCTTCAATCTAACATGTCACTAATGACAGATACAGCCATAGAGAGTGATGTATGTTGAACACATGGACATGAACAAGAAAAGAATGTGTGCAGGGGAAATCTGGGTGACACTTTAGTTTAGGGAACACAATATTAGTCATTAATACATAACTAAAAAGGATATCTATTAGTGCTTAGTAAGGTTTTTTATTAAGCATCTGCATACATGTATTAGGTCTTAATTGAACACATTATTATTTTTGCTTAACAACTGGTTTATTCTTGGTAAATCCTTAGAAGGCCACTAGTTGGCCATGATCGTTATTAGTATTTAGTATGGGTCAAAATAAAGAGGCTATAGACTCTTTATACACTGTCTTAATATACTACCAATTGAGACAGAGTAGCAACATATCGGGACAATGTATTAGGAGTCTACTTTGATCCATACTATATATCAGCAAATTAACCTCAAGACTAACTAGCTGCTTATTAAGGGTTTGTCAAAATTGTTGAATAAATACCTAATACATATGTAGAGATGCTTAATGCAGATCTTATTGATCATTAACACATACACTTATTACTCATGTATTAGTGGCAAACATTGTGTTCCCTAAACTAAAGTGTTACCGAAATCTGAATAACACCTGTGACAAGTGACGGCTCCTTGACGACCCTGAGCCGACAGAAAACTGTTCAGCCACAGAATTATACCAGATGAGTCACAGATTCATTCTGAGCCATTCAGTCTCATACAGTTCTTATATACAGTAGTTTATGATAGAAATGTGCAGATTACTGTATAAGCGAGTAATAGACCTTGTTTTATTTGATTTCATAACCTGATTTATATACAAGTACATGTAAATATATAT